ACCACAGAACATGGCACAGGCACACTAGGTGCTCAGTAAACATGTGCAGAATGCCATGAGTGGGAAGACAACATGTAGCCTGGGAGAGTCCTTCTGGTTGCAGGAATGTCAGAAACTCTGATATGTGCAGGAGTCAGGCAGGCGATATGATGGTCCACGCCAGGAGGAATGGTCAGAACTGGGGGCGAAATGTCCAATCTGAGCCTGTAACATCTTCTGACTTTTTTGAGATGCCAAAAATTTGTACATCTATATGAAATCTTGTAATATTTAAAATATGACAACTAATTTTTTTAACTTTTTTTTTTTTTAAAGATGGGGTTTCACCATATCGGTCAGGCTGGTCTCGAACTCCTGACCTCAGGTGATCCGCCCATCTCAGCCTTCCAAAGTGCTGGGATTACAGGCGTGAGCCACCACACCCGGCTGATAACTAATTTTTTAAACATTGTGCAAGCCCACAAGACACCTCCATTTACGAGGATGATGAGGGTCAGCATTTGGAACAGGGAAGAGCAGGAACCTTCTGGAAGGCCACTGTCACAGGGGCTGCATCAATGACTAGAGGAGGGTGCTTATCACTCACTCCAGTCTGTAGTCAAGGGTTTCAGAGCCAGCCCCAGAGGCAGCCCAGGCGCCCACAGTGAGGAGGTCAATGGTGTGAGGGTGTGTGCCCCCCAAGCCCCTGGCCCAGGCTCCAGCCCAGGCAAGCCCCTGCCCATGGGAGGGCTGGCTCCTTGGATCTGCTCTCACATTTTCCACCACCAATTGGGCCCTGTCTTCCCCAGAATATCATTTGGCCCCAGCCAAGCAGAACTGAACTTGCATCCCAGAGCCTCCTGGAGCCAGCTTTAAACACTCTTCACAGCAGGTGATTGGATCTTGATTTGAGGAATGCATTCAGCTGAGTCACCGTCCTCAAACAATATAAGAAATAAAACATTGGGCACGCTCCTGATCCCAGAGCCAATTATACGGGCCACTCCCCGCAAGCAGTACCTGCGCCACCCCAGAGAAGGTCCTGCTTAGAAATGGAGCATGGAGAGTTCCTCAGACGGAGAAGCTGCACTGGGCCAGGCCCTGCACGGGATGAGGTGGGGGCTTCATAGAAGCCAAGGAGGCACAATCAGACCCACATTGTAGCTGGGGAAACTGAGGCACAGGGAGCAGGAAGCCTGCAATCTCACTTGAGGAAATGGCAGCGCTGGGACTGGAAACGAGTTGGTTCTATGCTCCGGAAGTGTGGACTCCAGGCCCCGCTCTGCTAGGACTGCGCCAGGCTCTCTCAGTCCCATCCCCAGCAATCCTTTGGATATTTTCTCTACATCCACCAGGCTGACTTTGGAGTGGCTGCAGGCTCCTCATTTTGGTGCAATGGACAAGACTTGGGGCCCTTCCATTGCTGAGGGTATTTCTGTCAGATGTGACATCGCGGCGCAATGGTCAGAGGCCTGGATTCAGCCAGATTGCCTGTAGTCAAAACCCACCCTACCATTGGCCATGTGACCTCCCTCACGTTTCCCCATCTGTAAAGTGGGGCTGCATAACCCATGGTGAGGTTTAGAATGCTGCCAGAACATAGTGTTTAGAATTACTTTCATATCCCCCTAAACAATCAACCAAAAACATGTGCAGTGCCAAATGACACTGCCGTCCTCTCCGATGTGGCATGTGAAAGACAGCTCCTCCCATTCATACCTTTCACATCTGGTGTTGCTAAGCGGGGCAGTTTGGCAAAATTGCTCTCCCTGTCCCCCTCCACTGACCTGGGTCCTCCTGAGAGTGGTGTCGTGTCCTGGGTAAAGTTAGGCTGCAGATTCAGGCAGACCTGAGCTGAACACCCAGCTCTGCTTCCCGTCAGGTCTTGGGCAAATGACTGCTCTCTGAGCCTGGGAGTCCTCATCTGTAAAATGGGATCAGGTAAACCTGTCTTGCAGGGTAATTACCAGGACCTTAGCAGAATGACCTCTTGTGGATGACCCACGGGTGTGAAACATGATCACCAGCTTTGAAGATGAGACTGTCCTCCGAGAGGCTACAGCGTGGGAAGTCCAGAAGATCTCACATTTGCTGTGCCTGGGGCTGAGCCCGAGTCCCAAGGCAGAACCTGTGCATGCATCCCCAGGGACACGGTGGACTTGGGACCCACATCCTTTTGGCCTCGCTCAGTTTTTGCAGCCATGAGGAGTGTGAGTGCGGTCTCCAGGCCAGTTCTGCAGCAAAGCCATGGGGAGAAGTAAGTAGCCACTTACTCTAGGCCACTCACACTAGGTTTATTCACGGGGCTCAGTGCTAAGCATGTGCCTCTAACCCCTTGCAGCTCCCAAAAGGCACTTCTGAGGCAGAGGAGAGGCATGCTCGTGGCCTAGCAGCTGCTTCTCCAGGCTGGCTCTGCCGCATCTTGATCACCTGCCTGGGGCAGAGGGTGGACTCAGGTCTCTAGGGAGCCCATCTGCCAACGAGTTTGGTGCCACGGCCTTTGACATCCAGGCGCCAGGTGCAGGCCAGCTGAGCATCTCTGGGACAGCCTATGAGGTCGGCTGGCTGCTCCACGAGGTACCTACCCCATCATCACTGGGAGAGGAGCAGGCTAACTCTCCTGGGCTCAAGCACAAGCCTCTCTCCCGGGCCCAGGCCCTTGCTCTGCAGGTGGCACAGCAGGAACAGTTGGTTGGGGAAGGGGACTGTGCTTCCCAGACTGGCACTCCAGAAGGCAGCTCGATGCTGGGTGCCCAGCACACACTTAGTAAACAGCCTGTGCCATCACAACACACTAGCTCCTCCCCAGGTGCCTTCACCCCTCCACAGTCACCCTAAAGCACAAAGATGAGGCCACTGGAAGCTGAAGAGAAGGGGAAAGACTAAGGCACTTGGGTTATGACCCTGGCACAGGCAACCCTAAGGAAGCTAGAATGGGAGGAGAAACTGACAGATTGATCCAGAGTCTGAAAATGAGCCCATGTGACACAGGGGTTAAGGGGTGATTCTTTGAACACAGGAGCTGTTAGTTGTCCCTATCCCAGGCCTTGCTCTCTCTACTTGGAAATAAAATTAATCAAGTAGCTACTGTAGCAGGTGTCCATCTCAGCTAACACTTGAGACATGCCAGGATGTGCTGCAGTGACAAACAGCTCTTGTCTTCGAGGTTTAAAGGGCACATGTTCAGTGCAGCTCAGCAGGGGGACTCTTCCCACTGAGCCTCCTCAGGAACCTGGGCTGGCAGAGACTCTATCTTTACCATGTGCATCTGCCATCACCATGGTTGGCCAGAGCAATGCACTGGCCATTAAATTCTCCTGCCTGGAAGTGACACATGCCCCCTCTACTCACATCGCAGTAACCAGCATTAGTCACATGGCCTCATCCCTCTTCTAACGGGGCAGAGCAGGGTGATGCTCCTCCAGGTGTCTCAAGGGAAATAGCAGAACTCAGGGCCATCCTCAAGAAAACCCAGCCCTACATAAGGCAGGGAATCCCATCACAGCACACCAGGGATTTTCTAGGATGTTGCTGAGTTTCTACCATGGCCCCATTCTGCTGAGCTGGAGGAAGATTTAACCTCAGTCATGCTTAGGGCTTTTCTGCCTGTTCCATGGATCTGGTAAGGTCTCAGGACCTTGCACGGTGTCAGGCTGTCAGGGGGAGACAGGCTCTCATGCCATTTGTTATGGCTGAAGTGCGTCCCCCAACACTCATGCACTGAAGCCTTCAGCCCCCAGCACCTCCGCAGGGGACTGCATTTGGAGATTTGGCTTTTACAGAGGTGATTAAGGTGAAAAGAGGCCAATGGGGGGTCCTAATCTAATCTGACTGGTGTCCATATAAAAAGAGGAAATGCAGCCCCAGACAGACAGCAGGGACCCCACACACAGAGGGAAAACCACTCGAGGAGGCAGCAAGGGGCAGCTGACTTCAAATGCAGGAGAGGGGCCTCAGGGAAACCAACAGTGGACACCCTGATCTTGGAATTCCAGCCTCTAGAACTGTAAGAAAATAAAGCTCTGTTGTTGAAGGCCCCCATCTGTAGTACTTTGTCATGCAGCCCTGGCAAACCCATTTCATCACTGACCATGTGTTCAATCCTCCGGTGCTCTGGGCAGGGGACGTGCAGGTCTCAGAGCTCCGCTGCTTCAGATCCATGCCTGGGCTGGCACTGGGCTTGGCAGCAACTGAGGGCCCTTCCTAAAGGTCTTCTTCCCTAAATTCTCAAGGGTGACACCTCTGAGGTGGGTGCTCCACTGACCCACAAACATCAGGGTGCCGTTACTGAGGGAGGAAAAAATGGATACTGGGTGACAACCAGTCACCTGCTACCCAATGCCACCAATGAGGAAACTGAGGGTTAAGGAGAAGCTGTGAACTTCTCAAGGTCCACAGTCCATGAGCAGTAGCAGGAAGGTGAGGCTGGACTGTGACCACATACAGTGAACTCTGTGAACTCTGACCGTGTTAAGACTCCAGAACCCCTGCATCCTGCCGCTCCTCTGCCTAATGCCTGTTCCCACCCAGACATCAGACAGGAAATGTTGTCTGAACAAGGCTCTTCAGAAAGACTGAAAATGCGACGAGCACACCGCATTGGTGAGAATGTGCCGGTAGAAATGCAAGCCAGCATAGCCTCTTTGAATGGGTGTGTTGGCTCAGATTGGGTTCAGCCGTGAGAGAAACATCAACAGTGGTCTGAACAAGCTAGCCACTCATCTCTCTCGCACGTTCCAAAAGTCATCTGAAGGTAGGGTGTCCGTGGCGTGGGCTCTCTATCCTGTCGCACTGCAATGAGAAACTTCCATTCCCCAGATTACCCTATGGTTCAAGACTCCAGCCCTTATAAGCACATCCCAGTCAGCAGGAAAGAAGGGCCCACCTCCTATCTATAGGGATATATATGCATGCATACATATCCATTGGCCAGAACACATCTGCAAGGAGGCTGGAAAATGCAGTCCTTATTCTAAATAGCTGTGCATCCAGCTAAAAATCAGAGATTCTATTCCAATGGAAGAAAACAACAACATATATTGGAGGACAACTATCAATCTCTGCAGAAGACTAATAAGAGTAATTAAAACTAATTAAGAGTGTGTGCTTCAGCAATTCTACTTGCATGAGTTACCAAAGCAAATTTACAAGGATTGTTGAAGTTGCCTTGTTTGTTGTTGCAAAATCTTTCAGAAACAAAAGTCCAACCCAAGGGAACTGGTTTATAAATTGCCATATATCCATATGTATGCAGCTTCAGGAGTGAAGCCGTCCTCTACTTGACATGGAATCACCTCCAAGATGCATTGGAGCAAGCTACAGAACGTTAACATTACAGAAATAAGGATGACATACACACCGTTGGTGTGAACGCGGGATGGCTCTGGAAGGTTATGAAGACCCTGGGTGCTTCGCAGGGGTGGGGAACAGAGAAACTCAGTGCAACACAGGGAAATTTATCGTCCACCAAATACCCTCCTGTATGGCATGAACCTTTGTTTTTTTTGTTTTTTGCCATGTACATATATGGCCTATTTTTAAAAAACAAACTTAAAAACAGAACAAAAATGGTCTTTCTTCTGTTGATGCCTCTCTGCTCTTTCACTGCACCCAGCAAACCTCAGCTGACTCTTTGCCATCTTGGACCGCATGTGGATTTGATGGTCAAATCCCCATTGGCCCCCAACCCCCACTCAGCATGCCCTGTGAGCTTGCCTTCCCTAAATTACCAGGCTTTTACATGAGCTGAGAGGCCACAGCAAAGTGTGCCACTCAGGGGCACCTTACAGTACCCACTGCAGCCCAGGAGTTCAGCTCACCGGCCATACCACCAAGGTGGTAGTGCCCTGCCCACTACCAACCCTCCGGGTCCTGGATCCCAGCGCGCCTGACATGTTGCCCCACAGACATGAGCTGTGTTGGAACTGGTACCCTCAGCACCCCATTCCCCACACCAAAAAAAGGCTAATCTTGGAGACAGGCAATAGCCTGACCCTCATGGCCCTCACAGCTGGGGCTGAGACCTCCCCAGGCTCCGAAGGAAGCCTGCAGTTGGCTGGGTCCTGGGTGGGACCCTCCTCTCCAACACTGGGAATTACATAACTGGCAGCAACTCCCTTTCACTCCAGCTGCCAAAAAGTTCAAAGCCAAACTCAGGTACAAGGGTAGTGGCAGGGATACGCGGGGCTCTCTCCCCTACTCACATCTCATGATCCCAGTGTTTTGTTCTGATTTACTCACATTTTCAGCCAACCACACCCATCCTTATGACAAACATCATTCCCTGCATCCTGTCTGCTGAGGGTCTACTACACACCAAGCACTATTCTGGAGGCTAAAAATAAGAGCCACCCTTATTGTTCTTTACAGTATGCCAGCCACTTGCACTTACTGTTTTCCAGTCCTTACAAAAGCCCCTGCAGGACAGATCGTCTTCTCCCCATTTTACAGACGGCATGGTAAGTCCATTCTGAGATTTACTGGAGCTGAGCAGAGGGAAGCAGCTGCCTAAGGAAAGTGTGTGTCTCCGACACAGCAGAGACAGGTGCTGGCTCGAAGAAACACAGTTCTCCTCTCTCTTCATGTCTGTCCCCCGGGCGGACAGATGAGCCCAGGAGCAGGGGTGGCTGGGATCCTGTTTCTCTATGCCTCCCCAGCAGCCAGCCTGGGGCTTGGTTACTGGGGACTGTTCCTTGGTTGAGCAAACAGAGGCCCCCTGAGCCTCCCAGCCCTTCACCCAGTCCTCAGGCTCCTAGGAGAAACCAGCCTCCGAAAGGTTTTGGTATTCCTGCTAAACCTCCACATCAACACCTTCTGTTCCTTTTCCTTTTTATTAAAAAATAGATCAAGAAAATATACACACTTCAGTCCATCCACCATGATGGGCTTTGAGGAGGCATGATGGGATGGAGGCATTGGGAGAGCCAGCCCTGCCCTTGTGCCAAGGGTGCAGAGAATGAGGGTGCCCTTGGCCAGCCTTGCCAAGCATGGCCCTGGAAGGAAAGCCTGGGCCATGTGGCTGAGCAGGATGACAGCAGGTGAGAAGGGGAGGAGGGTCCCCAGTGAGAGCAGAGATGGCAAAGGGGATCAGGAGCCCCAGGGAGGCGGGGGCCTCCAGACTCACGGTGGGAACAGAGCTGCACAGGGCTTCCGCCCACAGAAGGTCCCGCAACCTGGTCCTTCTCCCCCAGGGACTCTGGGCCCTCTGGCCTCCTCTCTGGCCTGTCCTCTGCAGGCTCTGACAGCCACTCTCAGGCATTGATGGCCTTCCAACGCTCACTGTCCGTGCTGTTGATGCTGCCAGTGTGGCAAGGCATGGAAGCGATGTCGTCCAGGTAGGCCATCCCGCCAGCAGAGTCGAACTGCGTGCTCGAGTAGCTGGCAGCTGAGGCCCCAGCAGCCCCTGCAGCCTCCAGGCCCTCCCGCCGGGCCACAGCATAGGGCTGGGGTAGGTGTACGTCCGGCTCCTCTGTCTCATCCACTTGGCATTTGTAGGAAAAGAGGATCTTGGGTTCCGAGCTGATGGGTGGGAGAGAGGGGCAGGGGAGCCTTGATGAGTGACTCAGGAACAGCCTTCCTTCCAGGCTGATGGGGCCACCAGATAAGGAAGGAATCAGCCAACAGTTGCCTGTTACCCACCCCGAGACGGCCTGTCAGCTGGACCCCAGAGCCCATCTAGACTTGTTTTGGAACCCAGCCCTCCTCCTCCTGGCTGTGTGAGCTGGGACAGGGGGCCTCTGTGCCTGCTTCCTCATGGTGAAAGGGGTGCGTGGACCCCGTGTAGAGGATGAATGAACATAAATCATGAGCCTTTGACAGCGCCTGCCCAAGCGCTCAGGAAAGACTTGGCTGTGGCCTCTGCTCCCACTCCTGTGACCCCTGCTGCTCATGTTGCCACCCACTTCACCCTGGCCTGGTCCTGCAGCCCTCAGGGCAGCTCTCCAAGGGGGACACACTACACCCAATTTACAAAAAAGGAGCCTGAGGCTTCGGAGAGAAATCATGTGTGCAGCAGCAAGATGGGGCCATGGAACAGTCTGGCCCTCTCCCAGCTTCACTCAGGTGGGAGGCTGAACCCCTACCCCCAAGACCCAGCAGGTGAGAAAGGAGGGCAAAGCACCCACATTCCAACCACATCAGAGGCCTAGAGTAGAACCCCCAATCCCATGTCTTCAGCATCCCATCTCATGGATGCTTCTGCGGATGCACATGTACACAGCAGTGTACCCACTCCCAGAGAATCCCACTGAATTCCCACCCCAAAACCTGCTCCCTTCTAGATCTTCTCCCAGCAGGGTACAAGCTCCATGAGGACAGGGATTTGCATCCACTGTAGGCCTTGCAACTTCTAGTTCTAGCAGTGTCTGGAACATAGTAGGTGCTCAATGAATGCTTGTGAATGAATGAGTTAATATATTATTAAATAAAAACCACTTTGACTGGCACAGTGGCTCATACCTGTAATCCCAGCACTGTGGGAGGCCAAGGCGGGTGGACTGCCTGAGCTCAGGAATTCGAGACCAGCCTGGGCAACCCGGTGAAACCCTCTCTACTAAAATACAAAAAATTAACCGGTTGTGGTGGCATGTACCTGTAGTCTCATCTGCTTGGCAGACTGAGGCAGAGGATTCACTTGAACCCAGGAGGAGGGAGTTGCAGGGAGCTAAGATCACACCACTGCACTCCAGCCTAGGCAACAGAGTGAGACTCCGCACCCACACCAAAAAAAAAAAACCCAGCAATGCAGAACAATATGCATAGCTTCTCTCTCTCTCTCTCTCTCTCTCTCTCTCTCTCGCGGAAAGACTGTCTGTGTGTACTGTATATGCAATGTGCATACATATGTATGCATGTGTGTACATGGCACATATCTACATGCATGTATATGTCGAACGCATGTGTGTTCGTGTGTATGCATGCATGTGGGTGTGCATGTGCATGTTTGTGTGCATGTGTCTGTGTCTGTATGTGCATATGTTGTTGTGTGTGTATGTGCATGTGTGTATGCCTGTGCATCTATGCCTGCCTGTGCATCAATGCCCGTATGTGCACATGTGTGCATGCACATGTGGGTAGTTATGCGTATATCTGTTTGCATGTACATATCTGTATACGTGTGCCCATGTGCATGTGTGTATTTTCTGCACATGCACATTGTATGCATACACAGCCCCTCAGCATCAATCCTTGCACCTGTGGGGGAAGAAGGCGAAGTTCCGCCGGCAGCCACGCGGGGACACTGGCGGCTACAGACTCACCCGAAGAAGCCACGGAGGAAGGCCACATAGATTAGGGGAGCGAAGAAGCTGAAGTACAGGAAGGTTGTGGTGTCTACACAGCTGCAGAGAAGGCAAGTCAGCACGGGGCCTCCCAGTCCCACACTGTCCCCCTTAGCCGCCCCACTCCCTTCGTCCCTCCAGGTGGTGGATGCTCTGCCTCCAACTCCCCATGCCCCCACCCAGTGGATGCTCTGTCCCCAACCTTCCCACATTCTCAGTAGGTCAACACTCTGCCCTCCACCTCCCCATGCCCCCAGTGGGTGGATGCCCTGACTCCTACCTCCCCATGTACCCAGTGGTGGATGCCATGCCCTGCCCCTCACCCACCCCTCTCCTGTAGCGGATAGACAACCTTGCCCTGCCCACCCCCCACTTCCCCATGCCCCAAGCGGGTAACAGCCTGTCCCCTCCACATCTCCCCATGCCCCCAGTAGGTGGACATCCTGCTGCCCACCTCTCCATGCCCCCAGTGAGTGGACACTCTGCCACCCACCTCCCCATGCCCCCACAGTGTGGACACCCTGCCGCCCCCATGTACCAGAGCCCCTCGATGATGTCCAAGCACAGCAGCACACTCCCCAGCCCCTGTAGCAGGTTGAGCAGCGCCAGGATGCCCGCATACACATAGAAGCTCCTCCGAGCTGGGGGCCAGACAGGGTGAATCATGAGGTTCCCGCCCCGGCCAGGCCAGGCTCTGCCTCCCGCACCTACCACCTTCAAGCCTGGTGTATCCCCCAGGGCCCCTCTAGGCCTCCCTCTCACCCAGGGCTCTCCCGCTCCCAGCCACAGTGGCCCAGCAGACCCCCTCCTGCTCCCGCCTGTCCCAGAGCTGCTGGCCAGCTGCTCACAAGGCAGGGAAATGCGCTCCTTCAGCGGGGTCTTGGGGAGGATGACCACCAGAGAGTAGACCTATGGAGACAGGCAGGGCTGAGAAGGTGCTGGGGGTGCAAGCCCAGATCCACAACCAGGAACCCAGGCATCCAATCCCCTGCCTGGCCCTGAGGCCCCAGCCACCCCAGCCTGAACCTCACCAGGAAGAAGAAGCAGGAGCTGACCAGCCAGAACTGGCGGCCCCCATGGCCATAGATGTTAAAGTCCTCAGCTGAGAGATGGGCATCAGGGTACAGGATCTCCAGGGTCCCCTGCAGGGGCAAGCAGGAAGGGATGAAGGGAATCTCAAGGCTCTTCCCTCCCAGGGGCTTTTCCCGATGCAAAGTCCCCTAAGCTTTCCACCACACTAAGTCCAGCCTCTTGGCCTGACCCTCAAGTCACCTGCCCCAGCCTGCTCCCTGGCCACATCCTGCCCACCCGATTGCAGCATCCGGAGCTGGCCAGTCTTGGTATGAGTCACATAGGGCAGGGGGCAGAGATGGGCAAAATGCAGTCCCTGGCCCCAATCTAAGAATGGGGCCTCTAGATGCATGCTTCTCAGGGGGGTCTTGCACTGTCCCTACCTGTGCTCCTTGTTAAAAGGGCAAGTCCTGAGCCTCCCACCCCAGCACCCTGGCCTACCGGTTCCAAATCTCCCAGGGACACCAGAACTTGCCTCGGTAACAAGTACCTCATGTGATCTCTCAAGTGCAAAGTTTTAGAGCTCTGACAGTGATAAAGACTGGAAACCTGACCCAGGCCCAGAAGCAGTGGGTTCCTGGTGCCCTGACTCCTGGTGTCTCCTGCCCACACCCACCCTCTTACCTGGGTGACGGAATAGGCCAGGGACAACACCGTGGTGATGGCCAGCACCCGCTTGATGCTGGACTTGCTCTCCAGGTGGCCTGGAAGAAATGTGCTGGTCAGTACGCAGGAGCCAGCCTGTGACCAGGCCAGGGCCAACCCACAGCCAGGAAGGGGCAAGGGAGAGCATCGCTGGGGCCCAAAAACCCAGTAATACACACACCGAAGGCCAGGCCCAGGATGATCACACTCAGCTCGATGGCCAGCAGGAAGAAGCGGGTGATCTCCCACAGGATCTGCATGCAGAGTAGGCAGAGCGTCAGCCCAGGCCAGGCCTCCCCAGCCTCCCTCAGCAGGCCCAGCCGCACCTTATCAGCAACAGTTGCAGCATCCGATGTGCTCACCGTCATGGACACCACGGTGCGGGCAATGCCTACGAGCGCCACCACGAACACCTGGTGGGCAAGGGAGTGGTGTGGCAGTCGGAACAAGAGCCTCTGCATTGGCAGCGGTGGCAAGCCTACCCCACATCTACAGGACCCTTTGATTGCCGAGATTGGAAAGGAGGAAGGGGCAAGTCAGGGTGGGACTCGGAGGCAGGGAGCGGGCTCCAGGAAGCAAGGCTCTCAGACTTGCAGACTTAACAGTCTGCAAAATCCTGCTCTGGGTGGCCTCTGGCCTGGCCCTCCCCTCTCGGGGCCCCAGTTTCCTAGCTAGCACCAACAGCCTTGGGCTGGTTAGTAGGTGAGCATGGTGGAGCCAGATGGGCCAGGTTCACATCACAAGCAGCAGGCTTCTGCTTCCTGGCTCTTTATCTTAGCTTTCTCATCTATAAAATGGGGGCAGAAACAAAACCTACTGAGTTTGATTGTTGGGTCAAATGGGTTAACAGATGCAGCAGAAGCCTGCCTGGCACCCAGGAAGGGCCAAGTATACGTTTGCTGTTATTATCTTATTCCTGGTTTTCATTCTGAGGCATGCAGGACTGGAGGAAAGGTCACTGAGAAGAGGTGCCGAGACCTCTGAGGAAGCCACTGGCCTGGCAGGTTTCACAAAAGTGCCTGCTCAGCATCTATGGCTCTTACCGGCCTGGTATCCATCCCCTTCCTCTCCCTCCTCATGCCCACTTTGGTGGTTCTGGGTGAGTCTGAGCCTACTGCTCCTGGCTTTAGGGATGGGCCCGGGATGCAGCAGCACTGGCCAGTGGTGTGTGCCATTCCCCTGGCCTCAGGGCTGGTTCAGGGAAGGGCATGGAACCCAAGGGAGCCTCATGAGAGACCCAGGATGTGAGGTGCAGCTACCAGGAAAGGCAGGCAGAGGGCATGCAAGCCTGGCACCATGGGTGCCACCCTGCTGCCACAAGGGGAGATGGCAAGAGAGCAGGGCCATCGGGGAGTTCCCAGGCTCAGAGGGAGATGGAGATGGTGCTCCAGCAGCACTGCTGCACCCCAAAATCCTACTGTGCCTGAGGTCCAGGAACTTCCCAGTTTCTCAGTCAGAAACCGGCTTCTATGATTCTCAGTTGGGTTTTCTGACACATGCCCAGATCCATATATACTTTGTCTTTTGTGCCATGAGAAATTGTGTCAGCAGGGCAGGCAGCAAAAGCAACAAACTGCAAAACGCCTACTGTCTGCCAAGCTCCCACTGGGCTGCAGCTATGCAGGCGGCCTCACAGGTGCTCACATGAACATCATAGCCCTCACCTGAAGCCCATACCTAGCCAGCCCATACCTGAAGCCTGTACCTGGATAGCCCACAGCTGAAGCCTCCACCTGCAGCCCACACCTGCACAGCCCAGACCTGCAGCCTGTACGTGGAACCTGCACCCAGACCATCCACACCTGGAGCCTATACCTGGACAGCCCACATTTGGAGCTGCCTTCTCGACCACAGCCCAGACACCTCTCCCCAGGCAACATGTGCCAGGACCACCAAGTGGTGAGAATGCAGGCTCTCCCAGCAAGTAAGACGTCTTCTCCAAAGAGGTTTCACAGAATGGACATGTGAGGAACGAATGGATGGAGGATACAGTGGGCATTTTTCCCCACCCAGCATTTATTCCCCTCCCCTCTAGTACCAGCTCCCCAATTCTGTCGTAGGGACCACCTCCCTCAGTCCATATGGTCCGGCTGAGCTGATGCTGTCCTCCCAGCTTCACAGTGCCCCTCTCCTTGCTCTAGCCACAGAGCTTGGCTCAGGGATGAGCATCATAGGTGGGCCAGTCAGAGGAAATCCCGAGTCTACACTATCAGAAAACAAGCACTGTCTACCTGAGTTGTAGAGGCAGGATGTCAGCTCAAAGCTGCTCTTGGCCATCTTTGACACCATATGGGAAGAATTCATACAAGTTAAGTCCCAAAGAGAGCCAAGATGCAGAAACAGATCCTAATGACATCATCTAACTGCCTGGATCCAGTCATATCTGAAGCTCATTTTCATTATAGAAGCAGTTAATTCCCTTTTTATTTAAGCCAGTTGGAGCTGGCTTTTCTGTCAACTGCAGTGAACTTACCAGAATGTAGAAGGTGATAAAAATGGGGCTGGAGGTGATGCGGATCTTGGCCCGAGCAGATGGAAGCTTCCAGAGCAGGAAGATGAGGAAGAGCACATTGGGGATGAGCAGCATGAGGTCCCAGTACCGGACCCTGGCAGACACGCACAGGAACTGGTTCACTAGTAAGGCCACATATGCACCCCCATCTGTAGCACACAATCTGGTCCACCCTCACCACCTCCCCACACACCAGAAAAAGCCACTGACACTCAGCGAGCCTGCCAGTGTTATGACTGCCCCACCTGGAGGTGCCAATGTCTTCGTAGAGCAGTAGCAGGCAGCGATGAGGTACACTGATGTTTGGTGCCAGGGGTGGGGGCAGCGCTGTGCTCCCATTGGCCCAAGTTGCCTCCTCCAGGGTGTCCATCCTGCCAGCAGCCAGCCCTAGGGGAGTGAGAGCTGTGCAGGGGCTGTGTGGCCTGGGCCACTGTCCTCCTTCCTCTGGACCTGGGACTCCCAGGGCAAAATTAGGAGGGCTGCACAGAGCACCCCTATAAACCACCATCCCCACCCAGTGCAGCTCAGTGTGGAGCTCCACACAGGTCATGACCCAATCCCCCAGGCAGGGGCCCAGTCCCCCATTTCAGGCTCTATTTCACCACCTGCAAACAATAAGAAAGCCACCCCCTCAGCTGAGCATCTCCATGTGCAAGGCATAGCCACTTGGCTCCTTTCAGTCCTGAGGGCCCATGAGAGCAGCGTGGGTGAGGGCACAGCCTCTGGGTTCACAGCCCAGCCCTGCCCCTTCCTTCCTGTCCTTTCCGTGCCTGTGTCCCCCCCACGGAATGGGGGTAACAAGTGGGCTGTGGTGATACCAAGTGCCTCAAACAAGGCACACACACGAAGAGTTCTTGGTAGTGGTCAGCTGTGGTTCCGACCCACCACACCATGCAGAACTCAGAGGCCACGGACTCATGTGAGGCCACAGCACTGCTAAGGGCCAGAGCTGGGCACCATGCCCTCCTCAGTTGCACTCTCTGGCCCTTGACTCCCTCTGCTACCGCAGACACACGTGGAGGGGACACTGAACTGTTCCTAGGAGATGCACAGGACGTCTCCAAGTGAAGACAGGCATTGGGGAAGAGGCTGTACCACAGAGGTGCAGGGCGAGCTGTGTCTGCAATAGCCAGGCTGCAGGGTGAAGCTGGGACAGGGTGGGCCCAAAAGCCAGGAGCCCACATGATACTCTGAGCATGACAGATAGAGTCTAGTCTGGAAGACAGGAGAGCTGGTGGTCTGGGATCCTGGTAGCCACTCTGGGGTTGGGGGACTGATGGTCTGGCCAGAAAACCAAGACTCTTGAGTTAGAGGACTCTCAGGGGACAGACAACAGATACTTCTGCAGGGAGTTCGGGGTGATTGAGGTGTGGCCTGAGGCACAGAACATAACAGGTGCAAACATTTAGAATGATTTGAACAGATTGGGCCAGATGCCCGTGACGTGACTCTGCTTCACCAGGAATACTAGTAAAGGCTGTGGATGCAGCCCCAGGCTGTCGTAGGTTCCTATGGTGGACACCACACAGCATAAAAAGAATGACCCGCTGCTACAGGCAACACGAACGACTCTCAGAAGTGATGTGGTGTGAAGCCAGGCACAAGGGCCCACCGGCGTACGACCCGTGGAGAAATGCAGACGGGGCACCTTTGGGGAGATAAAGAGCATGGTAATTGCGGGAGGCCTGCCAGCTTCTGGGTGAACAGCTGCAGGCATGTTCACTGTATGGTAATTCATTAAGCCACACACTGATGACTCATAGGTCATAGGTGCACTTCAGTAAATTTTAAAAAGTAAAAAAGACGTGCCCTACATCAAGGACCCAGATCTCCCCATCAGCAAGGAGCAGCCCAGTGAGATGAACGTCTGCCAGCAAGGTGTGCAGAAACACAACAGGAGCCCTGCCTGTGTTGTCGCTAATGCCATCCCTGAGCAACAGCAGCCCAAGACAGGGCTGGGGGTACTTAGGAGTATTCCAATTGCTCGTCCAAGCTCTCAAACACCAGAACCACCTCTGGATGAAAGGCAGGGAAGACTCCAAAGGGGGCGGGCCATGGGCTGGGGCTCAGGTTGCTCCAGTGGGCCACTCACTGGCTCTGGGATCATGTCCCCATCTAAATAAGGACGGCAGGGTGCAGTGACACACACCTGCAATCCCAACACTTTGGGAAGCTGAGGAAGGAGGAGTGCTTGAGCCTAGGAGTTCCAGACCAGCCTGGGCAACACAGCAAGACCACATCTCTACAAAAAATACAAAAATTGTCCAGGTGCAGTGGCTTATGCCTGTAATCCCAGCACTTTGGGAGGCCAAAGTGGGCGGATCACTTGAGGTCAGGAATTCGAGACCAGCCTAGCCAACATGGCAAAACTCCATCTCTACTAAAACATATGAAAATTAGCCAGGCATGGTGGCGCATGTCTGTAATCATGGCTACTTGGGAGGCTGAGGCAGGAGAATCTCTTGAACCTGGGAGGTGGAGGTTGCAGTGAACTGAGATCGTGCCACTGCACTCCAGCCTGGGTGACAGGGCAAGACCCTGTCTAAAAAAAAAAAAAAAAAAGGCTGGGCATGGTAGCTCACATCTGTAATCTCAGCACTTTGGGAGGCCAAGGTGGGTGGATCACCTGAGGTCGGGAGTTCAAGACCAGCTTGACCAACATGGAGAAACCCTGCCTCTACTAAACATACAAAATTAGCCAGGCATGGTGGCTCATGCCTGTAATTCCAGCTACTCGGGAGGCTGAGACAGGAGAATTGTTTGAACCCAGGAGGTGGAGGCAGTGGTGAGCCAAGATCACACCATTGCACTCCAGCCTGGGCAACATGAATGAAACTCTGTCTCAAAAAAAAAAAACAAAAATTAGCCAGGTATAGTGGTACATACTTGTAGTCCCAGCTACTAGAGAGGATGAGGTGAGGGGATGGCTTGAGCCCAGGAGTTCAAGGCTGCAGTGAGCTACGATTGCGCCACTGCACTCCAACCTGGTTGACAGAGTGGGACCCTGCCTCAAAAAAGAATGAATGAATTAATAAAACATAATAGAATGAGGCCATAGCTGCAATCTTCAGAGTGATGGGTTATATTAAAGAGAACAAATGTCTGGCACATAGCAGATCCTAAGAAAGAAAATGGCTCTTTCCCTACTGTTGGGAGGGGAGCAAAGAAGCCTACCCTTCATTCACATATGCTTTCATTTGCTCGGCAGACCTTAACTAGCACCTGCTGAGTGCCAGGCACAAGTCTAGGTGGTTGGACATGGCAGGGAACAGGGCAGACAAGGCCCTGCCCTCACAGCGAAGGGAAGCCAACAACAAGCATGAAACCCATATTTAAAAAGCAAACTTGGTGGGAGGGAGCAAACTTGGCAGGGTGCAGTGGCTCATGCCCGTAATCCCAACACTTTGGGAGGCTGAGGTGGGAGGATCACTTGAGCCCAGGAGTTTGAGATGAGCCTGAGCAACACAGCAAGATGCTGTCTCTACAAAAAGTTTAAAAAACTAGCCAGGTGTGGTGGTACCACACCTGGGATTACACCTGTAATCCCAGCTACTCAGGGGGCTGAGGCTGAAGGATCACTCGAGCCCAACAGATCCAAGCTGCAGCAAGCTATGATCATACCAGTGCACTCCAGGCTGGGCCAGAGTGAGACCCTGTCTCAAAA